ACTTTTTATTTCCTAGTTAGCTACCCTTTGGTCAGCCAAGAATCCAGTTGGTCTCATCGCTAGAGAAACATTCAGCAAAATTTTACACACACACACAGAGAGAGAGAGAGAGAGAGAGAGAGAGAGAGAGAAAGAGAGAGAGGCTTGATACCCATGCTTCACTATGAAACTATGTGGTTGGGGACTTAATTTTTGGGGAGAAAAATAAGGGGAAAAAAATTCTGCCTCTGCCTACCAGCATCCATCGGTATTCATCTGGCTAGCATTCTGTCAATGTGTGAGAGAGTTGAGGGCTGTTTGGAAACTGAAACAGTATTTGCTGTGTCAGCAAGAAGGAGACAGCAAGGAGCCTGGGTGTGGCTTAGCTCAACTGTTCTGTACTAAAGCTGCTTGGTGCTCTGAAACTGAAACTGAAACTCCTCTGCTTGTGTTTTGCATTTGGAACAGATTTCTTTTCAGGTGGGGAGGGGGAGTAGAACTCCTTAGCATCAGAGCGTGTTAATAATAATAATACAGTATATGAAATACTAATGCTCTGATAGTCATTTCAAAAAAAATTCTTTCTTAGAGAGCACCTAGAAGCCAAGAGGAACATATGTGCCAAATTTCAAGTTTGTAGGCTTTACGGTTCTGGAGATTTTGTGATGATGCATGAGTGGTATTTCAGTTTTATATAGATATATAGATATATGTTTATTTGACTGAAGGGCTGTTTCTGTGTTCAGAGAAGTAAACAAAAAAATAATAAAACCCCCTGAACTTATAGCATCTTCTTTTATGAAACTCAAGCAGCTGGTTAGAGTTATTTATTCAACGCTTCTAGTGCATTTCCCAATTGTAAAACTCCATGGGGAAAAGACAATGATTATTATCCAATCATTTCCAGATAGCCTTTGACTTACAAACGTTCATTTAGTGATTGTTTTACATGGGAAAAAGTGACATATGACTGTTTTTTTACACTTATGATCATTGCAGTATTGCTGGGGCAAGGAATGGGAGCTCAACCCATCCCATGGTGCTCAGATCTCGAACACGGACTGTCAGCTTTCCGTCTGACAAGCTTAGCATCTTTAACTGCTGAGCCATCACAATGAATTAACCTTTGTGCCTGCATCTGAATCCCTTCCGCAGCTACTTTACTCTTCATTTATGAAAAGCAGTGAACCGAGAAATCACAGTGAAATAAAGAATTATGGTCAATGCTTCCTAAATGAGGCAGGATTCATGGCGAATAATCCAATCTCCTAGGTTAGATATTAAAAAAGGTAGAAGTGGTTTTCTCCTTTCTGGTCGTGTCTGACTCTAGGGGTGATGTTCATCTCTGTTTCCTAGCCAAGAGAGCGAACATTGTCTGAAGATGCATCCATGGTCATGTAGCTGGCATGACTATACATTGAAGTGCATGGAATGCTCTTACCTTCCCACCCAAGTGGTACCTATTTATCTACTCACGGTTGCATGCTTTCAAACTGCTAGGTGGCCAGGAGCTGAGGCAAGGATGGGAGCTCATCCCATTGTGTGGCACTTGGGTCTTGAACCCAGTCTCTCAGCTTTCCAGCTTTCCAGCTGACAAGCTTAGCATCTTTAACCACTGAGCCATCACGATGAATAACTTTTGTGCCTGTGTCTGAATCCCTTCTGCACCTACTTTACTCTTCTTTTTTGCAAAGCAGAGTACTGCGAAAGCACAGTGAAATAGAGAATTACGGCCAATGCTTTCTAAACGAAGTAGGATTCATTGCAAATAATCAAAACGCCTAGGTTAGATATAAAACGGATAATGTTTTCTCCTTGCCAGTCATGTCTGTCTCTAAGGGGTGATGTTCATCTTTGCTTCCTAGCTGAGAGACCCACCACTGTCCGAAGATGCTTCTGTGGTCATGTGACTTGTATGACTATACGTCGAAGTACATAGAATGCTCTTTCCTTCCCACTGAATTTATCTACTCGCATTTGCATGCTTTTGAACTGCCAGGTGGACAGGAGCAGAGGCAAGTAATAGGAGCTCACCCCATCGTGCAGCTTTGGATCTCAGTCCTGGGGTATCAGCTTTCCAGCTGAAACACTTAGCAGATTTATCTACTGACACTTGCATGCCTTTGAACTGCTCGATTGGCAGATGTGCACCCTAGCCAACAAATCGCATGCATGAATTTCATCTTTCAGAAAAGCATGGTCTTTTTTTTTCTTCCATTTGACAGAGTGGAGTTAAAGTGACCTAATGTATTTTTGTACCATCACTTTATGCCATCTTGGGAAATCTGCAGGAAAATTCCGAGTGCTTATTATGCATTTATTTCGGTCAGTCTAATGCATATACAGCGTGATCCTTGGAGAGCGGCCAGAGGTTTAAGATAGAAATGGGGAATGAAATTGATGGAGTGTATATTAGAAAGGGGAGAAAATGTTCCCTTAAAAGTATTTGCTATGTAACCTCTATTACTATTTCATATGACGTAATATATTTGGATAACAATACTGGGAGGATTCTAAGCGGACGTATTAAAACCACTCCAACTTGCTTTCTGTTCTGCCAGCTTTATGAAGGCAAGATGCACCAGGGAGAGAAGACAGAAAAAATATGAGCAACTCACTCCTACCACTGCATGCTGCCCTTCCTTATTTATCAGCCGGAAGACTCAAATCCAAGATTTGTTGTTGTGGAACTCTCACAACATCTGCCCCACAACTTTAACACTGATTGCTAATGGAAAGCCAAATGGGTTTCCAGTTATAGGAAGATCAGCTACTGGGGGTTTGCAGGGGTTCAGGAGAGCCCCTAACTAAGATTCTGTGCAGTTCGGAGAACCGCCCCCCCAAATCCCACTCCTGGCTGGCCCTGCCCACCCCTCCCCTCCCAGGAGTCCCCATGTGGCCCGAGTTGGATCCCACATAAGTGCAGGGCATGCATGGAGGCTTGAGGAGGGCAAAAAAGGGGCCTCCTGGAAGTTTGGGAAGGCCGGAAATGGGCCTGTTTCTGGCTTCCAGTGAGTCTCTGGAGCTCAGGGAGGCCGTTTTCACTCTCCCGGAGGCTCGAGGAAAGCCTCCGGAGCCCGGGGAGGGTAAAAATGCCCCCCCCTGCTGTGGTGCAGGAGGCCGACTAGGCCACACCCACCATGTCCACTCCCATCCAGCAATTGGGCAGAGAACCCTTTGCTAAAATGTTTGAAGGCCACCCCTGAGGAAGACATATAGATGATGAGGATGGAGGCTCATTCTCCAAACTTGTGGGTTGGTTTCTGAATGTTTCATTACCAAATTAGGTAACATCTTCAGCGGAGTTTAGGAGATTTCAGTGACAGTGTCCGTGTGTTGATAAGTGCTTCGTGTGGTCAGTGGGTCTTGTGATGGGGAGATCATGTTAGGTGAGGGTCACATCAGGTGCGGGACTTTTGATGGGTCTCGAGACCAACTGACCACACAAAGCCCTTATCAGCAGAAGAACAAAACATCAGGGGATCTCCTAACTTGGCAACCTTGCGGACTTCAGTTCCCAGAATTCCCCAGCCAGGGAACTCTGTAGTCTCAAGTTTAATGGAGCTTCTGTTTCAGAGGTGGTATTCAACAGGTTCTGACCAGTTCTGGAGAACCGGTAGCAGAAATTTTGAGTAGTTCAGAGAATCGGCAAATCCCACCTCTGACTGGAGATTTTACAGTATCCTTCCCCTGCCACGCCCACAGAACCGGTAGTAAAAAAATTTGAATCCCACCACTGTTCTGTTTCCATGCCCAAGTGTGGAAAACATGAACAAAGTAAAAAGAAAGAAAAGATTCAACATTTCATGAACATTGTCAAGTAGTTCAGTTGGTGCCTGAAACCAAAACAGATGCTTCTAAGCAAAATTCCAATTGACTTTTCTTTAGCAAGATTTATTGAAAGGAATAAAATAGAGTTGCAAAAGCTCCAGCAAGTAAACCCTTTCTTATTTATATTTATTTTATTTTATACATTAGGACAGATATAGTATTTCCCTCGTTTTACTGATAATAGAGATCGTGCTTAGCTTCCTCTGAATCTTTATTAACCTGGGAACCAATAATTACAAGACTAAACCAACAAACAAATATACACAATGTATTTGTATGCATCTATGCATACATATACAGATGGAAATAAAATAAAATATCCAGTTTTAGTTTATAGCTGACATTTGCCAAGTCTTTACATCTTTTAGCAACCAAATAATTTAAGCAACCAAAAACTATTCACCATAATGGGGCCTGCATGAGAAACATCATTGTGATTATGACAAAGTTTCAAAAGTACACAAATAGTTTAAGACACTGGCCCATATGGTATTACTAAAATTTAAATAATTTAAAGCAGAGGTCTCGAAACTTGGCCACTTTAAGACTTGTGGACTTGAACTCCCAGAATTCCTCAGCCAGCTATCCTGGCTGGGTAATTCTGGGAGTTGAAGTCCACAAGACTTAAAGTGGCCAAGATTGGATACCCCTAATTTAAATAAAATAATCTGTATAAGTCCCAAGGAATTCCATCATACATGATCCTGGCTGTTTCAGTAGAACAACATCATTTATAGGAATGGATCCCACTGAATTCAGAACTAGGAGGGACTTATTCCCTTTTCAACAGGTAGTAGAATGAATGAGCTGGAAGGGACCTTGGAGGTCTTCAAGTCCAGCCCCCTGCTCAAGCAAGAGAACCTATACTATTTCAGATAAGTGGCTGTCCAGTCTCTTGTTAAAAACCTCCAGTGATGGAGAGCCCAGGTTTTCTGGAGGCAAGCTGTTCCACTGGTTAATTGTCCTCACTGTTAGGAACTTACTCCTTAATTCCAGGTTGCTTCTCTCTTTGATTAGGTTCCAACCATACTTACTCAATAAAGTAGTCTTTAGTACTTACTCGATAAAGTAGACTTTAGTACTTACTCAATAAAGTAGACTTTAGTACTTACTCGATAAAGTAGACTTTAGTACTTACTCGATAAAGTAGTCTTTAGTACTTACTCGATAAAGTAGATTTTAGTACTTACTCGATAAAGTAGACTTCCCCTTTCTCTGTGTAAGCCATTTCCCAATTATCCGGCAAGGGGCCCAGTTCATCGTTTTCTTCAAGTTTTGGATGCTTGGTTACATCCATTTCCTCTTTTACTTCTTCCGGCTGGCTATAAACAGGAGCAGGATAAGGCTGAGATGAAGTTTCTCCTGAAACACCGGGGCCCTTTTCTTCATGTTCACTTGACTCTGCATGAATAAAAACACGGGCATCATTTGCAAAAGCGAAGGTTTTCCCTGTCTGGTTGTGCCTGACTCTAGGGGGCGCTGCTCATCTCTCTTTCTTATCTGAGGCAGCCAGCATTGTCTGAAGACATTTTCCATGCTCATCTGGCCAGCATGGCTATACACCAAAGGTGCACTGAATGCTGTTACCTTCCCACCAAAGTGGTACCTATTTATCTACTTGCATTTGCATGTTTTTGAACTGCTAAGTGGGCAGGATCTGGGGCAAGGAATGGGCGTTCATCCAGTCATGGGTCTCGAACTGCTGACCTTTTGGTTGACAGCCCAGTGTCTTAACCCCTAGGCCACCATGCGGCCACAATAATAGCCTACATCATTTGTAGGCTGTTTGTTATTGTAATGAGGCAAAATTGATATGAATGGGCTTCAGGAGGACTTCCCTGGGTCATACTTATGGAGACAGGCCAGGAGTGACATATGGGCCAAATAAGGCTGGTTTGGCCTTTCTAAGTTACAAACTTCAGCATGGGCCAGAATGAAAAAAACCACAATAATTATATAGATACAGATTAACAGAGTTGGAGGGGATCTTATAGATCATCTAGTCCAACGCCGCCCGCGCAAGCAGGAGACCCTACACCATTTCTGACAAATGGCAGTCCAATTATTTCTTGAAAACCTCCAGTGATGAAGCTCCCTCAACTTCTGAAGGCAACTTCTGTTCCATGGGTTGATTGCCTCAGTGTCAGAAAATTTCTCCTTATTTCCAGGTGGAATCTCTCCTTGAACAGTTTCCATCCATTATTCCCTGCCTGGACTTCAGGTGCCTTGGAAAATAGCTTGACCCCTCCTCTCTGTGGCAGCCCCTTAAGTATTGTAAGACTGCTATCCTGTCTTCCCTGGTCCTTCTCTTCACTAGACTAGCCAGGCCCAGTTCCTGCAACTGTTCTTCGTATGTTTTAGCCTCCAGTCCCCTCATCATCTTGGTTGCTCTTCTCTGTACTCTTTCTAGAGTCTCAACATCTTTTTTAATAGTGTGGTGATCAAAACTGGATGCAGTATTCTAGGTGTGGTCTTATTAAGGCTTTATAGAGTGGAATTAATACCTCTTATGATCTTGATTGAATCCCTCTGTTAATCCAATTTAGGATTGCATTGGCGTTTTTGGCTGCTGCTGCACACTGTTGGCTCATATTTAATTGGTTGTCCACTAAGATTCCAAGATCCCTCTCACAGTTACTGTTATTAAGCCTGGTTTCATAATAATTTCATAATAACATGCTATTATTATTATTATTATGTACACAACACTATGTGTTCATAGCTGCCATTTCTTTAGCTGGTGTTGGCGTTCACATGCATCAACATATGTTCTTCCCAAGAATCTAAGATGGTATTGGTGTAGTTTGTGGGCAGATCCAACCACTGTGGCCTTTTGCAACTGACAGATGGAAATTTTGTCCATGTGCTGATTTTTTGGTATAGCACCCACTTTGTCAATAATACATTGGACCACCATTGCTGATTTGTGTCATAGGTTTGATCTTCAGTTCCTGATAATTAGCAAACTTCATTATTAATTAATAATTTCATTGTTGTTATTTCCCACTATATCACTCACAGGTGCAAATTACCAGGAACATTTGTTGGGCTGGATTTAGGTCTCTAGTGGCAATGCAATGACTCTAAATTGATGACATGTTTCACTCCACCTTCCAGCTCAGTCGGTTCATCTCATCACTATACACTATATCTATCTCTATTTCAAGAGGGCAAACATGCCTAACATTCCTGCCTCTTATTTTCCCCACTACAAAACCCTGTGAGCTGGGTTGAATTGAGAGGGAGTGGCTAGCCCAAAGTCACCCAGCTGGTTTTCAAGCCTAAAAGAGGATTAGAATCCATCATCCCCTGTTTTCCAGGCCAGCACCTTCACCACTACTTCAAACTAACTCTCAGTTACCAGTTTGTTTATCATATGCCTTGATAGACCTTAATATAATTTGAACCAATACATCCCAATACTGACCTTCTTTTAGTGTACTTATATACATAATGAGCGTAATTTCTGATCCAGTAAGTGAATTAAGTGTCTCATTGCTAGGAGGTAATTTATACAAAAACCACTGGAATGGGCAAGGAACCTTTTAATTAAAGGAAGAAGCAAGTCTTTGAAATCAAAGCAAAATTTCTAGTAAAATGGTTTCCCCAAGCCAAAGTTGGCTGTTCTACCTACCTACCTACCTACCAGTGGTGGGATTCAATTTTTTTTACTACCGGTTCTGTGGGCGTGGCAGGGGAAGGATACTGTAAAATCTCCAGTCAGAGGTGGTATTTGCTGGTTCTCTGAACTACTCAAAATTTCCACTACTGGTTCTCAGAACTGGTCAGAACCTGCTGAATACCACCTCTGCTACCTACCTATCTATCATGTCTGTCTGTCTGTCTGTCTGTCTGTCTGTCTGTCTGTCTGTCTGTCTGTCTATCTTCCTTGTGTTGTCTTTCTGTCTGTGTCTGATCTATCTATCTATCTATCTATCTATCTGTCTGTCTGTCTGTCTGTCTGTCTGTCTGTTTCTGTCTGTCTATCTATCTATCTATCTATCTATCTATCTATCTATCTATCTATCT